CTAGAGGGTTGGGTATGGGTCAGTTCCAACTCAAACGCACAGCAAGAACAAGTGGCATAGTAGGGCGCTTTGGTTGCCTCATCCAAAGAGAGTTCACCCTGGTGGTTCAAATCCATCAGAAAGATGAACAGTCTCCTCCAGTGAAATTTATAGCCTCTTAAAACTGGAGCTCTGGTGGCTTTGCGGTATGAAGCTGCACTGCAATCCCGAGAACAGGTGTGAATCCACCAGATGAGCAGTCTCCTTCTGTGCTCTTTACTGCCTCTGAAAACCTGCTGGGTGGTCAGCTGTAGTTCGGTTCCACCTTGATAGCACACAACAACAACAAAACAGGCTGTAGACTCAGCTATGAGTTGAATCCAATTCTGCAGAAATGAGTTTGAGTTTTGAATTGCATCGTATGCTACATGTTATTAAGCAAAGGTTCAGAGGTTTGAATTAACCTGCTACACTGTGGGAGTAAAGTTTACCACTTGGAAACCCAATAGAGTATGGTAGCCATGAGCCAGAGTTACATCCGAGTCTTCTTGATTGCAACAGGTTTGATTTTGGTTTTATTTTTATTTTATTATAGAGTTCTTTCTAATTTCAGTATCACAAATTAAAGCCATGATATTTTCAATTGCTTTATAAACATGTGAAATATGGACAATAAATAAGGACAACTGAAGAATTGATGGCTTTGAATTGTAATATTGGCAAAGAGTACCGAATATACCATAGAGTGTCGTCAAAAAAGAAACAAGTCTGTCTTGGAGGAAGGGCAGTCAGGATACTCCTCTGAGGCAAGGATAATAAAACTTGATCTCTCATACTTTGAGCATGTTGTCAGGAAGGGGCAAGTCCTTGGAAAAGGGTAAGTCAGGAAAACAGAGAAGGACCCTCAAAGAGGTGAATTGACAAAGGGACTGCAATAATGAGCTTGAACTTCACAGAGCTTGTGAGGATGGTGAAAGATAAGGCAAAGTTTTAGTCTGTTGACCATAGGATCACTGAGTTAGAGAGTCCACTTAAAAGCATCTAACAGTTATAACAACCATCTGTGTATGACAAATTCAAATGCCACTGCTTCCTGACCATTATATATTCATTTTTTTAAGTGCTACTCACTAAGAGCTTACTAGAAGAATAATCTTGGCTAAAATGCATAATTTTATACATAAAATTGAATAATAACATTATTTATTTTATTAAGTTACCATGACAATGTCAAGAGTACCAGAAGAATGTCTATCTATGTTTCATTGACTGTGCAAAGACATTTGACTATGTGGATAATAACAGATTGTGGCTAAGCTTGAAGAAGATGGGAATCCCAGAACCCTGATTGTGGTTATATGAAACCTGTACTTGGATCAGGAGGCAGTCCTCAAAACGGATCAGGGAAATACTGCATGGTTCAAAATCAGGAAAGGAGTGTGTCAGGGATGCATCCTGTCACCATACCTTTTCAATCTATATACAGAACAGATCAGTAAGGAAACAGGGCTTTATGAGGAAGAATGTGGCATCGGATTGAAGGAAGACTCATCAACAACTTATGCAGATGACAACTTGAACTGAAGAAGATCTGAAGGTCTTGCTGCAGAAGGTCATACTTCAATATGGATTGAAGCTTACTATCAAGAAAACAATGATTCTCACCACTGGGCCAACTGGCGGCACCATGTTAGATGAAGAAGAAATGGAGATTATTAACAATTACAGCTTGCTCGATTCCACAGTCAGCACTGTTAACATCAGCAGTCAGGAAATCAAAAGATGAATTACATTGGGAAAATCAGCTGTGAGGGACCTCCCCAAAGACCTGAAGAGCAACAGTATCAGTCTAGAAACTAATCTTTGCAATTACTTGTTATGCTTCAGAGAGCTGGACAATGATTAAAGATGACAGAAGAAGAATTGATGCCTTTGAGTTGTGGTGCTGGAGCAGAGTCTTGAACATACCATAGACTTCCAAGAAAATAAACAGGTCTGTCTTGAAGAGGATAAAACCAAATTTCTCCTTGGAGGCTAGGATTTTGTAGCTCTGTCTCACATACTTTGGGAATGTGGCCAGGAGAGACCAGTCCTTGGAGAAGGACATCATGCTTGGAAGGGTGGAGGAACAGTGGTGGAGAAGAAGACCCCAAATGAGGTGGATTGATACAGTAACTGGGGCAATAGTGCTTGGTGTGTTGGAATTAGTGAGATTGGCTCAGGACAGAGCAGCGTTCAGGGCTGCTGTTGCTGTGTTGCAGGCAACTTGAGAGCACATAACAACAAAAACCATGAGAATTACATAAAACCAAGTGGGTCAATCACTGGCCCTAGTTCCTTGTATATCGTATAAATTTTAAAATGTTATCATTTAAGAAATGTACCAACTTGGTGGATAGTGGATCACTTACTGTTTTAATTTATAATTGTTAACATATTTCATTTTACTTGGATCCACAATCAACATCCATTGTCAAGAAATCAAAAGTATTTCAGTAGGAAAATCTGCTGTCAGAGACCTCTCCAAAGTACGAAAAACTAATGATATGAGTTTAGAGACCAAGGTGTGCCTGATCGAAGCCATGATTTTTTCACTTACTTCCTGTGCATCTGAAAGTTAATACGGATGGCAGAAGAAGAATCATTGCCTTTGAACTGTGGTATTGGAAAGGAATACGAAAAGTACTGCCAAAAGAACTAACAAGTCTGTCTTAAAGTACAACCAGAGTGCTTGTTAGAGGCAAGGATGATGAAACATGGTCTGATATACATTAGGTGTGTTGTCAAGTGGAGCCCATCCTTGAAAAAGAAATTCATGCTGAGAAATCTCAACTCTTTTTTTAAAACTTCTCTTAAGAAGAATTGATACAGTGACTATACAATGAGCTCAAGCATATCAGGGATCATGAGGATTGTGCAGCATAGAGCAAGATTCCTATCTGTTATTCATAGATTTGTAATGAGTCATAGTTCACTCAAGGGCACCTAACAACATGAGCAAGAAGTCCTTATAAAGAAGTAACAAGAATCTTGGTGGCACAATAGTTCATTGCTCAACTGCTAACCAGAAAGTGAATGATTTGAACCCACGCACTGCTCCACAGGAGACAAATATGACTGTCTACTTCATTAAATAAAATACTTCCTTTATAAAAGCCTAGAAAACTGGATCAGTTGTAGCCTGTCCTATAAAGTCACTATGTGTCAGAATTGACTCAGTTCAATGGCATACAACAAGAAAGTGTGATTTAATAAAATGAGAAGCTAGAATTGTAGATCACTTTAAATGAATACAGTAATAAGCACTAGAATTGAGCGTTTATCACATACCAGGAAAATGTCTAGGTTCTCACGTATTTGCTGTCATATGTATTTATTTTTCACAGCAGCTATGTCTCATAGCTATTATTCTCATTTAGATGGTTAAGGAGATGAGGCTTTGTGAACTTGTTAACTTGTTATAAATAATATATCTAGAGCGGGGAATTAGCCATAGAACTTTGTACTCTGAGCTAGTTTCCTTCCTCCACAGGTGCCAGCAGTTTTGTTATAATACAGCTCTCTTTAGTTTTATTTTGAGCATGTAAAAAAGCATAGACCAAGTTATCCTATCAGCTGTGGTTAAAGATCAGATGTCAGCAAAATTAGTGCTTCTGATATCAAAGAGAGTTCTGGTGGTGTATTCTATAGGAAGTTACCCTGTTAGTTAAACCAAAGGCAGCATCTCTGGCAGTTTGAATCACCAATCCCTTGGGACAGAAATGAGCAATATCTTCTCTTTCTGTTTACGACTTAGCAGAACCCACTGAAGGGTCAGCTATGAGTTGGTTCTGATTCAACTCCAATGAGAAATGATACCATTGAGAGTTGTTTTAAATATAAACGTCAGCCTAGTTCTTTTCCAACTATCTCAAGTTTCAGTGACCTGAATTATTGAACTTTTGCTATAAATGCGGTAGTAGGGTGGGGTGTGAATTGCTTCTAGTTCTATTCAGTATTGTCTGAGAAAAGATTGTTAATAATATGAGTATTTATAATCTCAGGGTTTTTAAGCTCTATGGTAATAAATTTCTAATTTCTACTTACAAGTGAATATTTAAATGTGTATCATGACAATGTGAGGTGATAAATTTAATTATGAAAATTATTTATCACAGATGTCAACATGAAAATCTGGTAGAACTGCTTGGTTTCTCTAGTGATGGTGCCGATCTCTGCTTAGTCTATGTCTACATGCCCAATGGCTCTTTGCTGGACAGACTATCTTGCTTGGTAAGTACTTTGCTCCTCAAATTATTAAGCTTTCTTTTTCCTATATTCTAAAAATATTAAGACCCACTTTGTGATGGGATCCTTTAAACCATGTTTCATTTAAATTTCCCCCTTCTCTATGAAAAATATAAAGTTAATGTAGAAACAACTGAGATTTCCATTCTCTAGGAAGAACTGAAGAAGTAAAATTACCAGTAAAAGCTAGATTTTGAAGGTATTTTTATATATTATTCTCTGTAACTAAGCAATTATCTGTTTAGGAGGGAGTAATGTTAATTTTCTGTAACTGTGCTAACCCCTGTTGTTGTTGTCATTATTATGTGCCATTGAGTCACCTGCAACTCATAACAATCCTATGTACAACAGCCTATCCCTGCTCTATCCCTTGCCAATCTTATTGTCTCTGACACACCTATTCCCATTACCTGAGTGATTGAATCTATCTGTCTCATTGAGGGTCTTCCTCTTCTGCTCTGTCCCTCCACCCTCCCAAGCATGACGTTCCTCTCCAAGGACTCATCCCACCGTGAACATGCCCAAAGTATGTCAGACAAAGCTTCAGAATCCTTCCCTCAAAGGAGCAGCCTGGCTTCACTTCTCAAACTTGTTTGTTCTCCTAGCAGTCCATGATATATTCAATACTCTTCTCAAACACCACAGCTTAAAGGCATCAACTCTCCTTCTATCATCTTTAGTCATTGTCTAGCTCTCTGATGCATAACAGTTGCAAAGATCATGGCCTGTATGAGGAGCACCTTAGTCTCCAGACTGACATTATTGCTCTTTAGTACTTTGAAGAGGTCTCTGAGAGCAGACTTTCCCAGTGAAATTTGTCTTTTAATTTCCTGGCTGCTGGTACCAATAGTGTTAATTGTAGAGCCAAACAAACTGAAGCTAAAAATAATCTAAATCTCTTCATCATCTATCATGATGCTGCCAATTGGCCCAGTGGTGAAAATATTTGTTTTCTTGATGTTGAGCTTCAATCCATATTGAAGGCTGCTGTCCTTGACCTTCTGTGGCAAGTGCCTCAGGTCCTCCTCTGTTTCAGCAAGCAGGGTTATATCATCTTCATAATGCAGATTGTTGATGAGTCTATCTTCAATCCTGATACTTAAGTATGCTTTGGGCAGAATATTAAATGATCCAGAAAGAATTAAAAGAAGATGGAAAGAGTATACAGCGTCATTGTGCCAAAAGAAATTGGTGGACACAGAAAACTTTCATGAAACAACATATGAGCCATAGCCTGTGGTGATGAAGGAAGAAGTTCAAGGTGCTCTGAAAGAATTGACAAAAAACAAGGCCCAGGAATTGATAGCATATTGATTGACATATTTCAGCAAACAGACACTGCCATGCATGTGCTCACCAAGTTGTGCCAAGAAATCTGGAGAACAACCACCTGGCCAACTGACTGGAGGAGATCTATATTTATTCCCATTCCTAAAAAAAGGTCATCTTACAGAGTGTGGAAATTTTTGAGCAATATCATTGATATAGCATGCATGCAAGATTCTGCTGAAGATTATCCAAAACCAACTGGAACAGTACATCAGCAGAGAACTGCCCGAAGTTTGAATGGGTTTAGAAGAGGCCGTGGCACTAGGTATATTATAGCTAATGTCAGATGGATCTTGGCTGAAAGCAGAGAATACCAGAGGAATGTCTATCTGTGTTTCATTGACTCTGCAAAGGCATTTGACTGTGTGAATCACAATAGTCTGTGACTGACTCTGAGAAGAATGGGAATCCCAGAACACTTGATTGTGCCTATACTTGGACCAGGAGGCAGTTGTCAGAACAGAGAAAGGAAACAATGCATGGTTCAAAATTGGGAAGGATGTGCCTCAAGTATGTGTCCTATCTCCATATCTTTTCAGTCTATAAGTAGAACAGATCATCCGGGAGGCTGGGCTCTATGAGGAGAAGTGTGCTAACCCCTAGCTGTTTAAAAACATTTAGTCCCAAATTCATTGTTATCAAATAACAAAATGTCTTCTCTAATGATTACAAGGATGGGAGGAGAGGGGAGAGGAAGAAAAAAATCAGTAAATGGCAGGTACCTATTAAGTTGGATGAAGGGAAAGGAAGGAAAAGAAATAAATCTATGAAAGCTGGACCCTGTGTGAGAAAAAATATGTCATAGAAGGAAAACACGTACTTCCCCCTAAAATAAATAGTCAGATAGTGTTAATCCTTCACCTTGTCAAAGGGAAATAACTTCTGAAACTTGGAAAAACAAAGCAGTCCTGTCAAGTTCCAGCACTCACAGGTTTTGCTCTAACACCATTTTCAGGTGTTACCTAGAAAAATATCTTGGATTATATATTTCCATAGACATTTCTTTCTATTTTTCAATTGATCTGTTTGTCTCTTCCTAAGGATGATACTCCACCTCTTTCTTGGCACACGAGATGCACGATTGCTCAAGGTGCAGCTAATGGCATCAGTTTTTTACATGAAAACCATCATATTCACAGAGATATTAAAAGGTAAATATTACTCTTTAAAACTCTTTCTGAAAACCATCCTTAAAGATGATTTGCTCTCACTCTTCTACACGCTCTTCACATGAACGTCATAACTGGAAACAGTTGGACTCCCTCCCCCAATTACTTCTTTAAAACTGTTTTCCCTTAGAGTGCTCATAATCTCCCTCATTCCAGACTTGATGATCTATTTTTATTACACATGTTACCTGACTGTTTTTTCTTTTTTTATAGCAATATGTATTTTTCACTTCACGTTATTTTGCTATTACTGTTGATAATAATATACAAAGCAAACCAATTCAACAGTTCCTACCTGCACAATTCAGTGACACTGATTACAGTCCTCCAGTTATTATACAGCCATTCTCACCCTCCTTTTCTGAGCTAGTCTTAAAAAAAATATACCTCCCTGCCCCCTAAAAATCCATTTTAATCTATGTCATCTCCTAATTTGTCTAATCGGTTACTATTGTCATTTTGAAACCGCATTATAGTTCATATACTTCACTTTTTTTTTAAGGAGCATATGATTCTGTCCTTCTGATCATCTTCTCTGCCATCCTTTCCCCCCTCCTAATAATTTTTGCCTTATCAGGATTCTTTGATCTGACGTTCTGGATCACCACTCTTCTGAATCACCTTTGTTTTCCAAGAAATACTTCTCAGTGTTTTTCCTTAATTATTTAGCTCGTTAACATATTTTTTGAGTACCTAGTATATGATGGGGAATTTTGATAGCATAATGCATAGGGAGGTTGCATTGCTACCCTGAAAGCTGCGCCTCTCTGGTGGTTCGAATGGTGAGCCCTCTTCTCTCATGTGATTTACAACCTTGGAAAACCTGCTGGAGAGTCAGATATGAGTTGGCTCTGATTTTGAGGTGAGAGAGTGTCTGCCTGTATGCTAGGCATTAAATGATATAGTTACCAAAGGTAGCCTCTATGGAGTTTGTATTAGGCAAATGGTAACAAAATGTAAACTGATAAACTGTGATAAATATTGAAGAAAAGACGATCAGCGTTCTAATAGCTAGTAACAAGAGAATCTGTTAGTCTTTGGGGGTCATGAGGGATCTCTAAGGGAGTGATACTGAAGCCAGGTCTAAAGAATGAGCTGCAGATAAATAGTCACAGTTTGAGAATGGCTATAGAAAAGCATTTCAGTAAGAGAGAACCCCATTTTTAAGGCCATTATTGGGAGGGAACATGGGAGTGTGGTGAACTACAGAAGTGAAGTTATTGTAGTATGACTGAAAGGCAGTAATTGACAGGATAATTAATATTAGATAAAACTACAGTGGAAGGAGGGGAGCTAGGTGTTCTATGGCCTCAGAAAACAAGTAAGAATTTTAATCTTATCTTTAAAATGAGATTCCATTGAAAGACTTTAGAAAGTAGTAGGAATGTGGTATCATATTTAAGTTTTGAAAAACCACACTTTTTTTAAAAAAAAATGCCTTTTATCCTAATACATAATATTTTTTACCAAATATTTAATAAAGGATTTAATGGGAATTCTGAGATATGTCCATTAAGGATGCTATCTTGAAGAAAAAGTCATTGTCAGTGAAGGAGACGTTTGGGGTGGAGGATAAAACAGAACAATGAACTAGTATTTCGTTCCTTTCTTCTAAAGCCATTTTGTAACAGGATGGTGTGTTTCATTTTGATTATCCAACAAAAAAGGACACCAGTTTAAGATCCTGTCTTACCTCAACCTTGCCTCAGAAGCCATCGATTCTAGAAGACCACATTTTTGCATGAAGAAAATAGGTTGGAGGAAGAGGTAATTTGGAAAGTATTACAGGAGTGTTGGTGGTTCATAGGAAGAGAAGTGAATACGCAGGAGCGATGGAGACAGGAGTTGTTGATATCTTGACTGGAAAAGTCAGAGAGAGGAAATGTCAGGAATAATTCCGGGGTTTCTCGCCTCTAGAAATGCATTGAGAGTGGCATGATTCACATATGAGGAAAGCACTGAGAGAGGATCAGATTCAGGTGGTGATGTGATGACCTCAAGTTCTTTGTTAAGTCTGAAGTTGGTCTTGACAGGGTCTCAAAAGAAGCAAAACTATATAGATAGAGTCAGACCTCAGGAGAGGTGAGTCTGCAGAAGGTAATGAGTCTAAGGTTGGCACACAGGGCCACAGACTGCTGGCTTTGAGGCTGGTAAATCCAAGATGAGCAGTAAGGCAGGCTGCTGCTTCAAGTCTGGAAATGATGAGCCAAATGCAGACTTCTGATTGTCCAAAAGGCACTTAGCTTTGCCAGAGTCTATACATACATTCAACTCTGAAGAGAAAACATCATATTGCATAACTGCCTCTAATCTTGCCTCATTAACAACATAGAGATTAGGATTTGCAACATATCAGATAATTATACTAAAAACCAGGGGCATGTTAACACACAAAATTATCACAAGGTGATTAGAGACATTGTGGTGTAAAAATGGGGCTCAAAAGAAATAGTAGTTAAACATATAAATTTGTGTGTTATTTGCATACAGGTGTTAAAATTGTAGAGACAAACTGTTGTAGTCACTTACAGAGATACCTTGTTGCAGAAATAGAGACTAAGCATAAGCCCCAAGATTAAGTCATAAAATCTAATGACAGAGTAGAAGAGAATGAGCCCCGAAAAAGCATCTAAGAAAGTAAGAAAGCATACAAGAAAAGTAAGATGAAAATCGGGGAAAGTGATACCCCTGAATAGAAGGAGAGTGTTGCTCTAGGGGGAGTAGTCAAAAGAGTCAAGGTTTTATGAAATCAGAATGAGGACTAAAATTCAGTCATTTGATTGGTGCTGTAAGGGTCATTTGCAATTGTATGGAGACCTTTTTTTCCTCTTCTGTGGAGGAAACCTGGGTTCGTATTTTAGCAAATATATCTCATCCTGGGTTTAGAAGGGGTTGTGGTACTAAGGATAT